ATCAAGTGACCAAGGGGGGGAGGTGTAGATGGAGAAGGGCAAATAAATTTTTCTGAAAAACGTGGGGATGCATTTTTCTTCAGCCCCCCCGAGTCAATTTCTTTTTTTAGAACCACCTTTCGCTGCAATTACCCGCTTTCAAGTTTTTTTTGGGGGTTCCCCTACCCCGCTTTGCACATTTAGAGAGTGACCCTGTTTTCCCAATTCTTTTTTTGCAAAATTAAACCAAACCCCTGTCAGATTGGGTGGGAGTGTTGTAACAGGCCCAAATTTTCAAGTCTTGCCACAGGGTTCTCCCAAATTTGGGTTTTGGTTGGACTTGGGCCTTTTTAACAAAATGAATATGCTTTGGGCTAAATCATTCCATTTTACATTTTGGCTGTAGTTTGGGTCGTTGTCCCGCTGGAAAAGGAACCCCTGCCCCCCGTCCGGGGTCCTTTTTTTCAAACAACAGGTTTTTTTTCTAAGATTGCCCTGTATTTGGGCCCCCCCCTCCTTCGATACTCTGAACCCGCTTCCCTGTCCCCTGCTGAAGAAAAAAACCCCCACAATATGATGCAACCACCTTGTTTCATAGTGGGGGGTGGGTGTTCAGGGGTTTTGTGCAGTGTTTTGTTTTCCCCCCACACATGCATTTTGGGTTTTTTGGCCAAAAAATTCCGTTTTGGGGCTCATCTGACCAGGCACCTTTTTCCACATGTTTGCCCGTGGGCCCCCAAAATGCTTCTCGCAAACGGGAAACGGGACTTCTTATGGCTTTCCCCTTTTAACAATGGCTTTTTTCATGCCTCTCTTCCCAAAAAAAGGCCCGATTTGGGGGAGTGCACTTAATAATAGTTTCCTGCGGGCAGATTCTTTCCCCCCTGAGCTTGTGGATCTCTGCAGCTTTTTCCAAGGTTTTTTCCAAAGGGACTCTTGGGTTTCTTTTCTAATTAATGCCCCTTCCAAGGTATTTAGGTGAAAACCATGTCTTGGGAGTTTTTAGTTGTGCCCTAAAATCTTTCCATTTTTGGATGATGGATTTAAGAGTGCTTCCCTGAATTACAAACTTGGGATATTTTTTTTTAAACCCCAAACCCCCTTTCTTTAAAAATTTTCCACAAATTTAGCCCCCGGGCTTGTCTGGGGGGGGTGATGGCCTTAAAAGATGCGTTTTTTCACTAATGTTCTCTAAAAAAACCCCCTTTGGGGGTTCAGGAAAAACTGGTAATTTTTTCCTTTAGATTTTAAAATTAAAGACAAGGGGGGGCTATTTAAATAATTACTTTTTCCCCTAAACCAAATTTTTCCCCTAATTTTTTAATTTTTCAAGTAAACCTAATAAAAGCACTAGCAGCAGTTATTTTTTTTAGTTCTGCAGATCAAAGTGATTAATTTATCAGCACTGTCTCCACTGAAATGATTCATAAATGGCCTTTGCTGGGTTTCTCCTCTAGACCTGACTCAGGGAGGGAGGAGAGAGAGAGATCATTACATGAAAGTAAGCTTAATAATATAACTTGGATTACAAAATCTTCAGTTTTACTCAAATTAGTTGATGCAAAAATGAATGCACCCCACAACAAAAGCATCTACATCTAGCATTTTGCATGATCGCCATGATTTTTTGTAAGGACAGCACCAAGTCTTCTAGGCATGGAATGAACAAGTTGGTGACATATTGCATTGTCTATCTTTTTTCATTCCTCAAGAACGACCTCTTTTAGAGCCTGGATGCTGGATGGAGAGTGATGCTCAACTTGTCTCTTCAGAATTCCCCATAGGTGTTTGATTGGGTTCAGATCAGGAGACATACTTAGCCACTGAATCACTTTCATCCTGTTCATTTTCAGAAATGCAACAATGGCCTTTAGATGTGTGTATTGGATCATTGTCATGTTGCAAAAGTGCACGACGACCAAGGGCACAGAGTGATAGTAACATCTTTACCTTTCAATATAGAGCAGTACATCTGTGAATTCATGATCCCATCAATGAAATGCAGCTCCCTGACACCAGCAGCACTCATGCAGCCCCACAGAAGAACCCGGCCACCACCAGGTTTCACTGTATGCACCATGCATTTTTCTTTGTACTCCACACCTTTGCGATGCCAAACAGTTTTTAAGCCATCCGTTCCAAAATCATTTATCTTGGTCTCATCACTCAAGAGTACAGAGTCCCAGTAGTTTTTTTTTTTTCCAACATGGGCCCTGGCAAATGTTAGGCGGACTTTTTTTGTACATGGGTTTTAGGAGAGGCTTCCTTCGTGGATGACACCCACGCATGCCATTCCTCTTCAGTGTATGCCATATTGTGTCATGGGAAACAATCACCCCAGTTTGGCTTTCTACTTGGCTAACTGCAGTGAACTTGCATGGTGAATTTTTTTATTTTTTTTCCTGCCCTTCTCATCAGAAAATGCTCTTGTTGAGGTGTTAACTTCTGTGGATGTCTGTGTGAGATGGTTGCAGTTCCATCTGACTGATAAGTATTGTGACCTGATAAGTAAAGCTTTGCTGATCTTGTAGCCTTCACCTTTCTTGTATAAAGAAATTATTTTCTTTCTCAGGTCCATTGCTGAGAGCATGAAATGGGAAAGGAATTTCTTTAAGTTGCGCTCTTTTATAATCAACTGTCTGCTGGACACCTGTTTAATTAATAATTATCACACCTGTAGTTGAATTTTCGTTAATTAGGATTTTGTTGTCTAAAATTTCAGCTTTGCTCCTAAAGCCTTCATTGGGGTGTATTTATTTTTGCAACATGGTCTTGAATGAATTTGTTAGGAAAAATACTTTTTTTTGTGTGTGCAAATTAACAATTCTTGTGGGAATATTTTGTAGTATAGTATCAAATTGAAAATGTTGATTCTTAAAGGAAAGTAAATAAGTAAAATAAATTATACATGAGAGCGAGAGATTGCTGCACATGAAAGAACTTTTAATATAGAAAAATCACCATACAAAAAAGTAATGAAAAAATTGACAAAGCCATATACAATAGTGTTCCAACAAACAGTTTTTGGGCTATTAAGATAACACCCTTCTTCAGATCAGAACACATATTGCAGTAAAAAATACCACAATAATCAATTATACAAACCCTCATACTTTGGGATCCGTCTCCTAAATAACCACAAATTGAAAACACCACATTTACTTGATTTGTATTCAGAGTGAAAATTCTGTTAAGAAGAAAAGTCGCCATGTCAAAGACATGGAATGCAAACATTAAGTATCCGTTTTATAAAAACTACATTTTAATTTAAAAAAAGGAAAAAGAAAAAAAACGTAAATCTATATTTATACATTTATATGATTGATTCCAATTATGATTGAATTTTTTGTGTAAACTGATAATTGTGGTATTTCTTACTTCAGTATGTGTTCTGATGTGAAGAAGGGCGTTCTATTAATAGCTTGAAACTGTTTGCTGAACACTATTGTATATGGCTTTTGTCCATTTTTTTCAGAACTCTTTTGTGTGGTGATTTTTCTATATTAAAGTTTTTGTCTGCAGCAATCCACTTCCTCTTTTTTTTCTATATGCACTGTGATTACCGTTGTGCACTTGACCCACATCATTGCTTTTTATTTACATACACTATATATATATATATATATATATATATATATATACACAGCGGTTATAGAAAGTCTACACACCCCTGTTAAAATGTCAGGTTCATGTGATGTAAACAAATGAAACAAAGATGAATCATTTCAGAAGTTTTTTCACCTTTTAATGTGACCTATAAACTGTATAACTCAGTTGAACAACAAACTGAAATCTTTTAGGTGGAGGGAAGTAAAGATAAAATAAAATATTATGGTTGCATAAGTGTGCACACCCTTAAACTAATACTTTGTTGAAGCACCTTTTGATTTTATTATAGCACTCAGTCTTTTTGGGTATGAGTCTATCAGCATGGCACATCTTGACATTTGCCCATTCTTCCTTGCAAAAACACTCCAAATCTGTCAGATTGTGAGGGCATCTCCTGTGCACAGCCCTTTTCAGATCACCCCACAGATTTTCCATCTGATTCAGGTCTGGGCTCTGGCTGGGCCATTCCAAAACTATAATCATCTTCTGGTGAAGCCATTTCTTTGTTTATTTGGATGTATGCTTTGGGTCGTTGTCATGCTAAAAGATGAAGTTCCTCTTCATGTTCAGCTTTTTAGAAGAAGCCTGAAGGTTTTGTGCCAATAATGACTGGTATTTGGAACTGTTCATAATTCCCTCTACCTTGACTAAGGCCCCAGTTCCACCTAAAGAAAAACAGCCCCAAAGCATGATACTGCCCACCACCATGCTTCACTGTGGGTATGGTGTTCTTTTAGTGATGTGCAGTGTTGTTTTTGTGCTAAACATATCTTTTGAAATTATGGCCAAAAAGTTCAACCTTCGGTTTCATCATAACATATTTTGGGAGACTTCAGATGGGTTTTTTCAAAATGTTTCCGGGCTTGATGTTTTTCTTCGTAAGAAAAGGTTTTCCATCTTGCCACTCTACCACATAGCCCAGACATATGAAGAATACGGGAGATTGTTGTCACATGTACCACACAGCTAGTACTTGCAGATATTCCTGCTGCTCCTTTTAATGTTGCTGTAGGCCTCTTGGCAGCCTCTCAGACCAGTTTTCTTATCTTTTCATCAATTTTGGAGAGACATTCAGTTTTTGGTCACTGTTGCGCCATATTTTCTCCACTCGATGATGACTGTCCTCCCTGTGTTCCATGGTATAGCTATTGCCCTGGAAATTCTTTTGTACCCACAGAAACCTGACATTTTAACAGGGGTGTGTAGACTTTTTACATCCACTAAAGATATATATATATATATATTATATATATATATATATATATATATATATATATATCTATATATACCTCCTTCCATTAATTTAAAATAAGCAGCCCATATAACTTTGCAGGCACTAATGTCCCTTTATGCACTATTGCAGCAGTAATGTGAATACAGATGTTGAGTTCACTTTTTCTTTCTATATGAAGGTTCGACAACCACCACTTAAACGCCTTAGGTTACGAGGAGATTGGTCAGATACAGGGCCCAGATCAAGGCCTGAAAGTGAACGAGAAGAGATGGTATATCATTTTATTATAGAATGCAATTGTATTTTAATGGTTTGTTTTTGTGAAAAACTTTAACTTCAGCGTTTCTGAATTCAAAATAAAAAATGTTATATTGCAGCTTACAAACCCTTAGATGAGTTGGCTGTATTAATTTTCATGTTTTGAATATTTTTCCCTTATCTTCACCTGTTGATTCTGCTAGTAAGTCTGTTATTTTTTATTATTTGTAAGTCATCTGTTATTCACAGACCAAGCTGTCCAGCAAAAGTGTTAGCTAGAGGGTTGAAACAAACCATTTTAAAACAGGCAGGGGTGCTTACAATGGTCAGCTTTTATTAAAAAAAATAAACTGTTTCTGCAACTGCTTAAAAGTAAGCTGGAGTTTAGTTTTAATTTGTTAGTCGCTTATGTAAAGTTCATTTCATTTTACTAGTAAACCTAACACTACCCTCAATGCTGCAGTCCAAGGGTGGCTACTTTACTTCTCTATAGATATAGTGGAGGACTGAGTGCAACCCCCTTTAACTACTTCCCACCCTGTCTATAGTAAAATGACGGCCGGGTGAACCTCTCGTCCCTCCGGTAGGGCATCATATGATGTCCTTCCCGGAGCACGCCTTGCACGTGCCCGCAGGGCCACGCTGTGGCGAGATCTATCACCGGCTGTGTACCTCGGACACGGCCGATGACCGATCTGTGTATCGGTCCCATTGCCAGTACCATGTGACCTGCTGTGACCAATCACAGCAGGGTCACATGACTATTGTATACAATGGATGGCTTCCTTTCATGCCATCCATTGTATACAAGTGTGTCTAGCTGTGAATGGTCACAGTGATCACATGCACAGGCTGGGCCAATCACAGCCCATCTGTCATGCGATTAGCCTTGGCCAATCACAGCTAATCACAACAAAAAAAAAACCTGAATGAATTGATTTCATTCAGTTAAATGCTTGCTTATAGCAAATAAATTCTTTTTGCTATAAAAGATCATCGAACTGTGTAAAGAATAAAAAAAAAAAAAATGTTCAGTGAGGGCTCTGAAGAAGGCATGCATTGGTCCTCGTAAAAAAAAAACGCAAATTGTGTCAGCCTTTTGGATGTCTAAACTCACCCCTGAAATACAAAACAGATTGCACAGGCCTAGGACATAAAAAAATGTTTAATAAAAAATGTTACTCAACGACAATATAGTCAAGGCACATCATAAAAGAACAGATGGGACCCAGCTGTTTAGACTTCTTTATGATGTACTCAGCCAAACGACAATGGACTGTTTAGTCAAGGCACAACACCTATTGTCGTTTTATTTTTTATTTTTTAAACATTTTTTATGGTAATGCACTAAGCCTGTGCGCCCTCTGTTTTGTCTTTCCTCATTCAGTATATTTGGAATTCCCCGGTCCATTTGAGGGCAGCAAGGTGTGCATGTTCCAGGACATTCTTAATGTGGTTGTAGCCTGCATCGAGTCCATCCCCAAGCGCAGGAGCATTTGTGTTTGCTGGTTCTTTGTTCTCTTATGAAATACGTTGGACTATCTACTTTGCAAAAAGGGGTCATTTGGGGGATATCTGTACTGTTCTGACATTTTTGGGCCTCAAGAAATTAGATTGGCTGTCAGTACTTCAGGATTGATCAATATTTAAGATCTATACCATAGTTTGTGAACTCTATAACTTTCCTACAGATAAACACTGATTTGGGTTATTTTACACCTAAGAAATGTAGCAGAATACATCTCGGCCTAAGTTTATGAAGAATGATTATTTATTTGCAAACTTTTATAACAGAAATAAAGAAACGTGTTTTTTGTTTTCAAAATTTTGGTCTTTTTTTTGTTTAGCAAAAAATAAAAACCCCAGCGGTGATTTAAATACCACCAAAAGAAAGCTCTAGTTGTGTGAACCAAATAATCAAAGTTTAGTGTGGGTACAGTGTTGCATGACCACGCAATTGTCATTCAAAATGTGAGAGAGCGCTGAAACATGAAAATTGACCTGGGCAGAAAGGGGGTAAAAGTGTCCGGTATTGAAGTGGTTAAACAGGAAGTGTTACTGACAGAATCAGCAGCTGTTCAAAGGACAAAAGCCTAACAAAATGAAAACCAATAAAGTCAACAGCTCTAAGGATTGGTAAATTGCAATATTTTATATTTTTGCTTTTGGGTTCAGATACACTTTAATGAGTTGTTTGTAGTGTTTAGAGCAGCATGTTTGGTAAGGTGTCTAGCATTGTGTGGCATGGGACTGTTTAAATTATTATGAATTATGTCACAAATTGTTTTTCTTAGCTTACTCATGGATCTTAATCAGATCATAAAACTGCAATCATACAAACATGTGTTTTATGATCTACTATTTTATGATCTGATTATCTTAAAAAATGGCAATAGAACATCACCCCTGCACAGCTAAGCAGTGACTACAAGGTATACATAAGCGGGATGAACTAAACCCAGAGATCCAAATACATTCTACAATCTCAATAGTTAAAAGCTTGTGTACATACAAATGGTAAACCTAGTGCAACTTGGAAACGCATAACAAATGAACAGGCAGTGGTGTTACACTAGTATGAAAAAGTGCCTCAGACATTGCAAGACTATGGGGGTGGACCATCGGGAGGACGGGGGGGTAGAGTATGCACACCCCAGAATATCTTAGACTAAACTAATAGCAATAACATAAGCAAAGTAATAGATTGAGTCACAGGTGGTTGTGTGCTCCAGCCACCTGTCTCAGATCTTAATGTACTTGGTGGGACAACTCCTATGAGTATATATATATTTCTCATATAGAAGTGTGGTATTAATCTCCATAGCCCATGACTGGAATGTTGGAGGGAGGGCCTGTATCCACTTTCGGGCTATCATTTTCCTAGTGCTAAAAAGGGCTTCCTTTGAACATGTGGTCAGGTACTTATCAGTGTTTGGATCTGGGAATAAACCAAGAATACAGTGTTTTTTAGGGTTTAATGTCAGGGGCAAGCCCATCTGGTCATGTGGCAAGTTAATCACTTGGATCCAGTAGCCTTTAATCACTGTGCAAGTCAACCATAAATAAAATAGAAAGTCAAAGGCTGTTGGACATCTGGAGCTCTGAGAGGGACAATATTTAGAGATATGAATAGGGGTCAGATAGCCCCTATGTAAGATAATGCAGATGCTTGAGCCTGTCTGACAATTTGAAAAAAAAAAATAATTTACAGAAATCCAATCTTGGTTTTATAGGTCATCAATTCCCATATTTTCTGGTGGCAGTAAACCATACACTTGTGATCATACATTCCTTGGAAAACACTCCCCGCATGATTGTTTTTAGGATAGCAGCGCAGTTGGGCACATTTATACAGAGCCACTCCCTTAAAGTAAAGGTGGGAGGTTGCGCCAAATTTCCCATCAGACCCCCCCCCCCTCCTCCTTCTCCTCCCTCTCCTCCCAAAGGCGTTAGGTTCTTAAGGGTACGGCAAGGCAGCTTGTGTTGACCCTTACCCCTAACAAAAGTATTAAGGATAGAAATTCACTAAAATTTAATGACCATTTTATTTTGTGAAAGTAAATGTCACTTATTTTCTAGGTGACAATGCTACGAATGCGTCACTCATGCAAAGAATGTCTGATATGCTTTCAAGATGGTTTGAAGAAGCAAGTGAGGTTGCTCAAAGCAGCAGGAGAAGAGGAAGGACTCCAAACAGAGGTGCATTCTTTTGTATCTCATCTGTATGTCTATTGTGTTTTTTCTTTTTTTTTTTTTTCTTTAATTCTTTATTTTCAAAGATTTTGTACAAAGCAAAATATAAGAGACAGAAACAACAGGAAAAATTGGGGTGCATATGTCCTTTTTTTTTTTTTTTTTTTTTTTTCCTCCATGTATGCAATTTTTGTATTTTAAATATTTAATGCATGGAAACCTCTACAAACAGGCTTTTTTACAATGGAAGATTTGGAGAAACTGAAAATCATAAAGAAAAGCCTAAAGCTGAAAATATTGAAATTCAAAATATATTTACTGGACTTAAAGCAGATATGTTTACATTTTAAAAATAAAAAAGACATCATATGCAAAACAATATAATATGTGGATCTCAAAGCTCTGAATGTCTTCATTCGAATCTAGAAATTCCACATTGAATGCACCTGGTCTGTCATTGCCTCCCTTTACCAGAGAGACTTTCTGGCTTCTGTGGACATCAAGGACCCGTACCTACATTCCACAATTTTTTCAATACCTTCTTCCCTATGTTTTGCTGTGGGGCCCCTACCAGTTTGTGGCCCTGCTCTTTAGTTAGCAAGGATGTTCACCGAGGTTCTGGCCCATTCTGTCATTTGGCCTTGTTGTGCTCTCATGGCATCCTCGTTGTGGGATACTTTGACCTCCTTTTCTGGGGACAGTTGACACAGGCTTTGTCATCAAGAGTGGGTAGGGTGGATCCTAAACCTCCAGAAATCATCGTTGGAACTACGGTAATTAATTTGGCATATCTAGGCCTTTTCCTGGATGTACATCACTGTTTCTTCACAAGGGAAACTTCAGATTCCTGGACTGGAGAGCTCAAATCTGACTGTTTTTGCATGAGTGTGGGCCTGATGGTAGCCTCCTTGAGGCAGTTCCATTTGCCCATTTCAATTTCAGACCTCTACAACCAACAAAAACAGCAAACTGAAATACTCCTGCGCTTGGGGATGGACTTAGCTAGGGCTGTGGTTACATCTCTGATGTCCTGGAATATGCACTCCTTGCTGCCCTCAATGGACCGGGGTAGTCCAAATGCACTGGATATAAAGAAAACAGAGGGTGCACCAGCCTAGTTTATTATTGTAAAAAACATTTATTGGCATAATAAAAAATAGGTATCGTACTCACAATTGACATACATGTCAAAGGCACATCACAAAGAACAGCACTGTCCAATCCACACTACATGTCAATCCGCAATAGGAACCCTGAGGAAGAAGATAGGCCCTCGAACATGTTAGTCTGTTGAAAGTCCAGGGTTCCCATTGCAGATTGACATGTAGTGTGGATTAGACAGTGCTGTTCTTTGTGATGTGCCTTTTGACATTTATGTCAATTGTGAGCACGATACCTATTTTTTTATCATTCCAATAAATGTTTTTTACGATAATGCACTAGGTCGGTGCACCCTCTATTTTCTTTATATCCAACATTCTGTCATTGTGGGACAGGTCACAAAGGTCCCTGGCAGGACCAATTTTGTTTGGAGCCATGCACCAGGCTATCCCTGGTTTGGTTACCAATGGAGAAACAGAAAAAGGGCGCACCGACCTAGTGCATTATCGTTTAAAATAATTTATTAAAGAAACAAAAATAGGTATCATACTCACAATGGACATAATAACACAGGCATGTCAAACTGAACAAGGTGTATGATCCAATCAACATCTGAGTCCATACGATGGAACCCTAGATGACCAATTGACTAACGCGTTTCGAGGACAAAACCTCTTCCTCAGAGCCAGCACTACAGGAGCCTGCACTTCTCTTTATATAAGTTACTAAATGGTAACAAAGGGGCTGTATCAGAACCACCCTGAAGGTGGAGCCTGACATCACATGACCCGTTAGCATCAAAATAGACAAAAAAAAAAAATATAGTATATATATAATTAATTAAATGATGGTTTAAAAACTGTATTATAGTTAAATGATGAATGAGAGAACTGTATTATAAGAACATAATAAATATGATATGTTTGCATGTAATCTGAGGAAGAGGTTGTGTCTCGAAACGCGTTAGCCAGTTGGTCATCCAGGGTTCCATCGTATGGACTCAGATGTTGTTTGGATCATACACCTTGTTCAGTTTGACATGCCTGTGTTATTTTGTCCATTGTGAGTATGATAGCTATTTTTGTTTCTTTAATAAATTAATTTAAACGGTAATGCACTAGGTCGGTGCGCCCTTTTTCTGTTTCTCCATTTGTATCCAGTGTATTCGCACCACCCCAGTCTGTTGAGGGCAGCAAGCAGTGCATATTCCAGAAAATTCCAGAACATTCCTATTGGGTCTACTGAGTCCTTTCCTAGCGCAGGAGTAAAGTGTTTGTTGTGTTGGATATCCCTGGTTTGGTGGCTCAGAAATCTGACTCTGTTAGGAGGATCCTCCAAAATTGTCAAAGAAGGATCTTCAATTACAGATACTAGCTTATCTGGATGTTAAGGAGTCCTTGACAGGGGGACTGAGGGTCTAGTCACATCATCGCTGTGACTGAAGAGCGGTATGGTCACTGTACTAGCAGCAATTTACTTCAGTGGCTCTTTGCTTCCACAGTGGTCCTACAGCTATGAAATATGTATACTCACATTGGTCCAATGCAACTATGTAATAATAAACATACCCATAGTTTAGCTTTTAATGGGTTTGCTTCCACCAGGGGTAATCTGCATGAGTGGGTTCCCCCCAAAACACTGTTTTTTCTGTTATGGTATAAAAACGAGAGCGAGAGTGACTGTTTTAAGTGATGAAATAATGCAGTATGAAGCCTTTTAAAGAGGATATTGTTCTATTTAGGCAGTGCTGCCACTATTTTCTGCAACACCATCACTGGTATGTAGCTTTTTTTTTTTTTTTTTTTTTTTTTCCTCTGTTAGTGCTGCAGTTTATCTATTTTCTATATGCACACCTCATCCAGTGGTTGAGGAGATTTGTGGTTGTAGGTAATCAAGGGATGCAAGGATCTATTTTTGTGGTATTTGGAGGTGAGGTGGTGGAAGGGAAGGTGCCACGTATTTGTGTTTTTTATTTGGACAGTTTAAACAGTGCTTAGGCAATTGGAAACATAAGGGATTAAGAGATTAATTTAGATTCCTTTTTATAATAAAGGAGAGTCACAGCCAGAGACAACAGCTTCAGCAAGTACAAATCCGACAGAATCCCAGGCTGCTGAAGCAAGTTCAGAGATGGGCCATGATGAGAATGCACCTCCTAATACAGATGTTGGAGAAAGCCATACGTCACCGTCTGCTGTTGAGGCTGCACATCAACAGAGTAGTTCATCATCAGAAAGCCCTACTTCCCCTTCTGGTAAGAACATTTTATATTTGAATACTACTGTACTCCGTAATTAGACTGCATATTGGCTGATGAATATCCAGATAATTTTAAAGCGTGTTTATCAATCTTGGCATATATCCATGGCATATAATGGATAGCCACATTTCAGATGATTTTTTCCTAAATTTGTATATGTAAAGTATAGATTTATCTTTATATTCACTATCACTAAATCAACCCCCACCCTAAGCTAAAACTGCACTAAATCCCAAACACTCACATTTTCTGCTTACATGGCCTCTCCTTACACACTTGTCAAATTAAGATCAGTGGCTATGTTTATGCAGCTGCTGTATCCCCATAGACTTAAATAGGCTGCCTGCACAAAGTACCAGATGGCTCCACATAAACAATTGACCAGTTCATCGTATAGGTGTCTCGGCACCCATGTGAATGAGCTCTTAAGTAAGTTTTCAGCTTATAGACACTACAGGGCACAGGCTTTATCCCAACACAACAGTAATGATTAACTGGGAAATTTTAACCCAGCAATTTGACTTTTCCGCCTTGAGACTGGTTGGTCAGGAGTGTCTACTAATGTCATACCCATAGATCAGCTGTTCTCAACCTTTTTTACCACCGAATAACCCTTGAAATATTTTTCAGGTTTCAGGAAACCCTGCTAAGAATAATTATACCTACCGTTTACAATAGTGTGATCACTAAATTGTAGAATGCATTATGAATCAGATTAAATTTGACATAACTAGCATATTTGACAAGCTGGGCGGATAATTGTTACACTCTCCCACTCAGGACAACTTGGTTTTTACTAATCTTAAAATTAAATTGATAACCAAATATAAACACAGGCAGTAAGAATTGTTATCCCCTAACATTTACCGATTACTGTAGAAATGCTCTCTGCATTGACAGTTATTTTAGGAAAAATATCAATTCACCATTGCTCACTGCTCAAGGAACCCCTAGTAACCTCCATAAGGAACCCAGGCTGAGAAAGTGTGCTTGTCCATACACTGTCTTAACCACTTCCTGTCCGGACACTTTTACCCCCTTCCTGTCCAGGGCAATTTTCAGCTTTCAGTGCTATCACACTTTGAATGACAATTGCGCGGTCATGCAACACTGTACCCATATGAATTTTTTACCATTTTTTTTTTTAGACAGATAAAGCTTTTATTTTGGTGGTATTTATGCACTGCTGGGATTTTTATTTTTTTGCTATGTAAATTAAAGTGTCCAAAAATGTGGAAAAAAAGTGTTTTTCTTATAACATTTTGCAAATAAATAATCTTTTATCATAAATCTTGGCTGAAATGTATTCTATTATCTTTTTAGTAAAAAAAAAAAAAGCCAAAATTAGTTTAAAACCAAAAATTATAATTTTTAAACTTTTGTTTTTACATTTTATTTTATTTGTTTTTTTTGTTTTACATACTGTCGCCCTAGCAGTACAGTGTCACCATGGTGACACTGTACTACTTGTTGGGGGTGATGAAGATTTTTTTTTTTTTTTTTTTTTTTACAGTAATTGCTTTTACACCCATATAGGATGTAAAAAACAATCATTTCTCCTTCTCTCTGTCTGCATTCTTGCAGCCATTGAGAAATACTGAGTGAGTTGTGATTGGTCACAGCTTGTCACATGGTACAAGGCTGTTGTGAATAGCCCTGTACTATGTGACCTCGGTGATCATTCACAGATTTCACATGTAGTAAGCAATGATGTCGCAAGTGACATCTTGCTTACTACTTTGCATGTGATCGCTGATTGGCCAATCAGCGATCACATGATCGGGACCTCGTACAGAGGTCCCGTCCGACGTTCGGTGTTTCACTGTGACCGAAGGACACAGCGGGCACTGGATCGCGGTGCTGCGCACTCCCAGGGAGCACGCACAGCTGGAAATGGCGGGTGCCGTTTATGAACGGCAACCCGCCCCTGCGGTTTATAAACAGCAGGCCGACGGCAAGTAATTAACAGATGACAGTAATTTTATTTACTAAGAACCACTATACAGTTCTCACTTTTAATGCTTACTTTTTTTGTTGTATTAATAGACCGGTTTTACAGTCACACTGATTCTGTAGGAAAAACGTAATCCGGTTGGGGAAAAGGTTGTTTATCGACTTTTTCTAGCACTGTTTCAACACACACCTAAGAACAGCAGCTGCATACAGTTTAAAGTGTTTTGTAAAGGTTTAGATTTTTTTTTAAAATAACAATCATGTCATATTTACCTGCTCTGTGTAATAGTTTTGCACAGAACAGCCCTGATCTTCCTCATCTCGGGTCCCCCGCCAGCGCTCCTGGACCCTTCCCCTACTGAGTACCCTCAGAGCAAGCTGCTTGTTCTGGGAGCACTTATGCGTGCTTGTTCCCCAGCCACCTCTGTGAGTCCACCTTCACATTACAGCCCCCCCCCCCCCTTTACATGGGTTCCTCTTTACAGTCCAGTTTTCATTATATCACAGTGACCTTAGCTATCAGAGCTCCCCCATTACAGTGCCCCTTGCAGTCATGGCACCCCATTTCCTCTTACATCACTGTCCCCCTTTGTCTCCCCTGCACAGTCCTACCTTTGGCAAGGCAGAGTCATTTATCAACCTGTGTGTCCTCTCATTGGTATCCCACCTGGCCTTCAATGTCATTCTATCAGCAGGACAGGGGGGTGGGAGGAGCTGCAGATCTGGATGGAGAGCAGGAGCTGCCCAACATATCATATTAACAAGTGGGTGACTACCCGCTTAATAATGTGAAAAGACTCCCTCTCTGTCCAGATCTGCAACTCCTTCTGCCACCTGCCCTGTTGATAGGATGACATTGGCAGCCAGGCGGGAAACCCAGGAGAGGACACACAGGCTGGTAAGTTGCACAGCTGCAGTCTGGATCTGCATCACGGCTGCTGCTCACCTCCTGCTGTGCAGCCCGGTTACTACTGGACCAAATACCATTACTGGTCTGGGGCCCAGGGTTTGAGTACCTCTGCTCTAGTCTAACAGCAAGGAGACCCAACCATTTTCACTGCTTTGAAATAGATTATCAACAAACTGAAAACAATTCTGTGCAAGAGATGCTCAAACTTGTTTTAGTCATTCAAAAGACATACATATTTTGTAATGTTTATTATGCACACACTTTTGTTACAAGCTATCAATTACAGATGGATTTGGTCTCTGCATAACTAGGTGCACGTTAAGACCGGGTGCAAACTGATGCTGTGTGGGGAAACGCTGTGAATCCTGTGCGTTTCCCATACCGCATTGCAGTCACATGTTGTTCATGCGATCTGGTGTGGATGTCAGTGTTAAATTAATGACACCCCTGAAACAGATTGCAAAATGTAGTGCGATTTCCAGAAATCACATCACATTGGTGAGAACACCCATGCAATGCAATTCGGGTGTGGGTACGAAAAGGATTCTGCACCTTTTTGCACAGACATTGCATGTAATTCGCACAAGAGCAGGGTGCAATTCCTGTGCAAATTACACGTGTCCTGCACTGCATTATTGTGAACCCGGTCTTGGGCTTCTCTATGCTCAAAGTACTTGTAACCCTCTCATTAGAAAAACATGGAGGCTGCCATTTCTGACCTGTCCTGAAATACATATCTAGTTGATTGGCTTTCTTGCTGACCTGAAGCAAACATGCATATAAGTTTAAGCTAACTTTCCTGATCATGCGTGTCCCAGGTCAGTGTATGAGAAAGTACTAAAGCCTTAAAGTCTGCTGTGGCCAGTCAGCTAACATGTTTAGAAGGATGTCAGTAATGATAGTCCCCTTTTTTTTTCTTATAACGGTAGATCTTTCTGTATTACGTAGTTCTCTTCAGCATGTTAAAGGAACACACCAATATTGTGGGGGGAATTTACTCAAATTAAGCGAACAGATTCTGGAGCAGTTGCGCATAGTAACCGATCAGCTTCCAATGTCTGCTTATTCAGTTAGGCTTTACAAATGAAAGCTAGAAGCTTATTGGTTGTCATGCACAGCTGCTCCAGATTCTGACCCGCTGCGGTCATAATACATTCCTCGATATGGTTTTTTTTTTTTTTTTTTTTTTTTTAACCACAGTTTTAATGCATGTTTGTACTTAAAGGAACCTGTATTGAGAGAAATTTTTAGGCTACACAATTAAGTGCATTAACCAATTTTTTGCATCAGTTGTCATATGTTTAAAAAAAGGACTTGCATCAGTTAACATACTTTACCTAGAAAATGTTCTTACCAAAGGTGCATGTACATGTTTCCATTTACAATGCAGCTAAAAGCATGAAGCTGTTTAACACGTAAATTGCACATATTTTTTAGGGAAGAGTATAAGATGTGCTACTCATATGGATTGTGATTAAGGTATTCTAATCGTAGTCTATGACCTGGACTTTGAGCAAAGTAGTAAACCTTAGCAATGGAATAGGGGTACGTTTTTGAATAGACTATATGGCCAATAGCCGGGATCTGGTTATCTCAGACAGCTGCATTGCTTTATTCATATAATTATTTTTGTTATAGCAAACCGGGCAGCTTGATGAACTCACCGTACTATATACAAATGTGGAAATATACAACGCTAAAATACATATGCATATATAAATATTTGATAAACATGATATTGATAATAAAGCAATGTTCCCAGCTCAGCGTTTAACAATGCCCAAAGGAGAAGAGACCAGTCATTGGAAAAATTCCATAAGGTGCATATAGTGACAAAAGTGATATAGTCAATATGGTATAAATTGCGACTTCCGTGATTGCTGTGGCTGTGAGAATAGGTATATAATGCACTAACCAGATAGCACAAATGATTGTGCTCACACATGTGAAAGAATCAAGAGCAGCAAGGAGTCTCCCTTCTCCTAAGGTACTTCTTCCAACCTGGTCTATGCTCATATGCATAATCCCCCTGATGGCTGAAACCTGTATTGCTGGAGGCTGGTAACCTGTCCTGATGGCTGAGATCTATATTGCTGGAGACTGGTAACCTGTCCTGGATGGATGACACCTG